GGAAGGAAGGAAGGAAGGAAGGAAGGAAGGAAGGAAGGAAGGAAGGAAGGAAGGAAGGAAGGAAGGAAGGAAGGAAGGAAGGAAGGAAAAAGACCACAACAATATTCTGGACTTTGAGAAGGAGAAAACAAACCTAAGGATACTGGAGATGGGGGTTAGTGAGGGAGGAGGTTTGGGAAGTGATAGGTCAGGTAAAGGGCATAAGGAAACATCACGATTTGTAAGAATGAATATGCTAATAATAAATTTAAATTTTTAATTAAAAAAAAGAAATGCTGAAGTTATATAAAATGAATGTTCAGGCTTATACCACAATAAAGCGTCAACCAGTTTTGTTAAATGCGTTTTGAAAAAGTCATAATGGGTTTACTTATTTTATTACCTTGGATGCTCTGTGGGTGCATAACCTAAGTGTCTAGGTTGGATTACAGGCAGCTTGTATTGTAGCCTCTTACTTTTCTGAATTTTTCCATTTCTCTCTAATGAACATATACTACTAATGAATAAATTTTCTAATCAGTAAAAAGTGTTATAAAAATACAAGCCTTAAGAGATGAAAATAAGAAAATTCCATATTCTGAATATATAACTTGCAGTTGTAAGTGTAAAATAAGCTAAGTAAAGAAGAAGGCAGAATATCACTGACTGAGAATGGCTAGAAAATGGCTAAAGAAAATGCCAGATAAGTAATTATTTTGAAGGACATACAAATATATGTGCATAAACAGGTTAAGTAACAATGGCACCAAAAAATGTGAACTGTCAACAAATTGGAAGAATGCTGCCACCTCTTGCAGAGCACTTCCTGTGGGGCCTGTGTACACCCAAACCAGGCTTTGTTAGGCCCCCAACAAAGCAGTTCAAGATAAAATAAGTTCATATCACATCAGGGAACCTGGCTCTAAAGAAGCTACTGTGTTGTGGGACAAGAGATACCTTTTTTTTCTATAAATACTTTGTTAGAAAAGCATATTACTATCAAAGGTAAAAAGGCATTTCAATGAAAAGAGGACAGTCTTTTCAACAAATGGTACTGGAATAATTGAACATCCACATGCAAAGAAAATGAACCTTTACCCATTACAACACATACATAAATAAACTCAAAATGGATAAAAGACCTAAGTGTAAAACCTAAAACTAAGACTTCTAGGAAAAAACATAAGAGAAAAATCTTCCTAACCATGGGTTAGGCAAAGAGTTGTTAGATAAGACATCAAAAGCATGATCTCTAAAAGAAGAAATCGAGAAACTGAACTTCATCAAAATTAAAAAGTTATGCTCTTGACAGTGACAGGAGAATAAGAAGACAAGCCACATTTTCAAACCAAATATCTGATAAAGGACATGTATTCATAATCTATAAAGAACTCCCAAAATTCAATAATAAGAAAACAAACACCACAATTTTTTAAAAACAGACAAGACAGACACTTCACTGAAGAAGATACACGGGCTTCCGGTCAAGATGACGCAATAGATGGTCCCCAGCATCACTCTCTCCCACAAATCAACCAATTTACAACTATTAAAAAGCAACAACAGCCAAGCTGGGGCCACAAGAGCTCAGGGGAAGAGGAGGAGAGACCTACACAGTTCATGAAGGCGGGAGAAGCCACAATGAGAGAAAGAGAGGATTGCTCCCACCATTTTGAGTCCCGGTCACTTCAAGGCTGGCATTGGTGAGCACACAGAGCAAGAGTTGGCAAAAGCCACAACTGTGACCTTCCTGTGAAGTTGCTTGTAGGCAGCAGGGGAGCAGAGGGCCTTGGTGGCCCCCAGGCCAGCAAGGCCACTAACAGGGTTCCTGTGGACCCACAAAGGAGAGAAGGGCCACAGACAACTGAAAAAAGGAGCCTCTCAGAGGCTGGTGAGTCATCACAAGGGACCAGTGCACAGCCCGTCCCATGGGAAGTATTTAGAATGCAGGTGGTGGGGGAGATGGGCCACTGGGGGATCACTGGGGTACAACATGAATAGCTGATCTCCCCTCCAATCAGCACAGGCCCACTCTGTGTAGACTGGTCAGGAATATAGAACTGCAAGGGGTGCAGTTTGTTGAAAAAATTCAGGTCCAGACAAGAGTTTCTACACAACCCAATGTACTGGATCTCACAAGACCAAGAAGTACCTACAAAGTCAACCTTTAAACCCTGAGCTGCACAAAAAGCATTCCCCAGGGAATCAGCAGCAAAGCAGCAATTCAGCTCAACCACAGGGCTCAAGTGCTGGTCCACACAGCATATTTCCCCATTTTAGAAGTAAGCAAAGGATAACAAATTAGTTCCAGTTCAGAGTTTAAGTAGTGGAAACACTGAATAATCCAACTGAAAGAGAAAAGAGAACCACAGACCAGAGATAAAGTTTGATATTAACTAGTAAAGGTCTCACTTCACCAAAAAACACCTATAAAACCTACAAGGACCAGAAGTCCCCAGAGCCACCAAGCCAGGAAGAGGGAAGGGCCAGGGGCCTCAGCCATGCCCCCACACCCACAACCAGCCCAGCAATGACCACCAAGCCACTGCAGGAAACACCCTGGGCTCCCGGGCCAGGGCAGTGGGGGACCGAGGGCTTTGGCCACACCCACCCAACATATGCAACCAGCCCAGTGATGACCACCAAACCACCACTGGAACTCCCTGGTCTCCTGAGCCAGGGTGGTGGGGGCCGATGGCTTCAGCCAAACCCCCCTTAACATCTGCATTCAGCCCAGCAATGACCAAGCCACCATTGGAAGCCCCCTGGTCTCCTCTGCAGGAATGAGGTGGGTGCCATGGGCCTCAATCACACCCCCAGCTTCCTCCTTCTCCCACCCTATTTCCTTCCCCTTTCTCTTCACCCCTTCCCCATTCTCTTCACCCCTTCCCAACCAACTGGTCAGCAACAATATCTTAAATGTAAAAACAGATGGAGCTGGGGTCCAACCCCTCCTCCTGCAACCAGGCACACCATCGCTGCCACAGGGCCTTCCTGGGGTCCTGAAGTGTGGAGCCGAGGACCGACCCTTCTTCCCATATCTAGACACACAGCCATTGCCACAGGGCCTGCCCAGGGTCCTGAGGCATGGATCTGGGGACCGCCCCCTCTTCCCACATCCAGACATGCAGCTGCTGCCACAGGGCCTGCCCAGGGTCCTTAGGTATGGAGCCAGGGACTGACCCCTCCTCCTGAAACCAGGCAAAGAACACACCAAAAACACCACTTCCATGTGGGGGGCCCACCACAGCCACCACAATAGCCACAGCTGCCACAAAAGCAGTTAGATGCCACAACCACCATACAAATGGCCCACCAGCCACTCGAATGCATTGACACAAGGAGAGTCACCAGCAGAGACCAAAGAAAAGAAGAGGATGTCTCTTTCCACAAAGCCCATTCCAGAGTGATAGAAGAAGCACCTGCTCTACAGTAATAGTGGGGGACCTGAACACACCTCTCTCTGCACTGGACAGATCATCTAGGCAACAAATCAATAGAGTAACCGTTACTCTTTCAGAAGGAGAGAAGAAATCTAGAGTAATCAGAGGTCACGGGGGAATGACTGGATAAGGGGCATAAAGAATAAATATGATTTGTAATAATATATATGTTAATATTGATTTAATCAACAAACATCAATGCTGAACCCCAAAAATATGCATAATCAATAAAAAAGAAAAAACGAAGATGATATACGGGCTGGCCAGTTAGCTCACTTGCTTAGAGCATGGTGCTGTAACAGCAAGGTCAAGGGTTCAAATCCCCATACCACCCAGCTACCAAAACAAAAAAAAGAAGATATATGGATAGCAAATAAGCACATGAAAAGATATTCAACATCATTAGTCATGAGGGAAATACAAATTAAAACCATAAAATACCATCATACACCTACTAGAATGCAGAATGAGAAAAATGACAATCCCATGTGCTGGTAAGGATGAAGGACAGTGAGAAATTTCAAACACTGCTGGAGTGGGGTGCAAAATGACAAGGACATCTTGTAAAACAACTTGGCAGTTTCTTATGAAGTTAAACATACATTAACTACATGACCCAGCAATTACTCACAGGTATTTAAAAAGAAATGAAATGAAAATTTATTTTCATGCAAAACCTTGCACACAAACATTTACAGTCGTTTTATTCATAATCATCAAAAACTGGAAGTAATCCAAATGTCTTTAAACTGGTGAACAAGTAAGGTATATCCATATAGGAGACTAATAGAAATAAAAAAAAGAACAAACTACTAATACACACAACCAACATGGATAAATCTCAAATGTATTATGCTTTGTAAAAAAAGCAGATTCAAAAGTTTCATACCATATGATACTATTTTACAGCATTCTGGAAAACGTAAACTTATAGGGATAGAAAACGAATCAGTGGCTGCCAAGTGCTGGAAGTAGGGTGAGCAGTAAACTACAAAAAGGTTTATTATGCCTTTTTTGGTGGTATGATGGAACTGTTCTATACCTGATCGTGGTGGTGATTACAAGACTACACACATTTGTTAAAACTCAGAACTGTATACTAAAAGGGACGGATTTTACTATATGTAAAAAAAAAAAAAAGATGCCTCAATTTTTAAAAAACATTATTTACTCATGCTAAAATTGAAATAGAACAAAAGGGTAAGAAATATAAATTGATGGTTTCTCTCTATCCTCTAATTTATAAGTATAAGCACTGTTAATTTCCATAGCACCTTCCTTAGAAAAAAATCAGTTCTTGCAAAAGTTAATAATCTTATACTGATACTTATAATGATCACATCATAAATACTCAATGATAATAACACTTATTTCAATGATAAGATTTCATTTCAGGATTTGGACAATTTGGTAATCACATCCCAGTTGTTTGCAAATAAACAGTTTATTTAAGACAGTGGTAGGGAAAAAAAAAGACAGTAGTAGAAATGGTAACACTTAAAATAAGGTCTTTCAGTCTAGACAGCTTTAGTTTAGGCCTACCTTTGGAACTATCTGTGAAAGCTGCTGGACATCCATCGCATCTATTTCTTCTCCCGAGACTGACTGGGAAGTTTTGGAATACAACCCCAGACGACTTGCTAAATTGAAAAGACAGACAAAGTGTAATTTACCAAACTGTTTTTGCTTGATGGCTAGTTAACATAATGCCCATTTAATATGATTTGTTAGCCACTCTCTTTCCTTTTAAGTATAAACTGTCTTTATATCAAAGGATCACAAGACAAACTACTGGTAAGACAAACCTATATGAGTTAGTAGTAAGTCTGGGGTTTTCTGTTTGCTTTATTTTTGTTTAAAGAATAGAGAGTTTTCACTATGTAAGCCAGCATACCTAAGAACTGAAACTAGCCCAATCAGTTCTGCTCAGCAGCTCGATTTTCATGAAGATGAGAGTGCATTTTAAGTAGAATATCCAAAGCCAGACAAAATGGTGGTGGATCTGTGGTAATCATGTAGTTGTACATAAATAAAAAAATGTTAAGAAGTTATTCTCCCAACAATATTATGTTTCTAATGACCTATTCTAAGATAAAGTAAAGTCTGAAACTCCTGGCCCAGCCATTTTCCAAATTAGTAACATCAGAATTAAAGGAGTTTAGCAAACTGTTAAATTTATCAGTATGAAATATAGTTTATAAACTCTGGGAGATTAACTTTCACGCTCTTTTTCTTTTCCTTAAATATTTTGTAAGGTAATCTTAAATAGCATTCAAACAACATATATGATAAAAAACCAAATATATATAACAATCTATTTTCTTACAAATTAGGTACAAGTCTGCTTTGAAAATTATACTTAAATTTAAAGGAAAAACTAGATTTCACGTTTCCTTTCACCTTCATGATCTAGTGCTTTTATCCATCATCATAGTGGGCTATGAGGTTAAAAATAATCAATTACACTTCTGTGAGTAAAATACATATGTGATTTCATAATGATTTATTTAGTTATGCACTTTTAACAATATTACTTTTTAAACTATATCAATTTTTGCCCACAATTTTATATAGAGTATGAGAAAATTATATAATCTCAGTATTATGTAAAATACATCTCATATCTAATGGTTCACAAAACTATGCACTGCACTATTTAAAGAAAAACTATCAAATACAAAAGGAAGTAGCCTAGTTATACCGATTGCAACTGCAGTCTCCTGTGAATCTCCAGTAATCATTTTTATCGATACTCCTGAGGCAATGAGTGTTGTAACAGCTTCTTTCACACCAGTTCTAGGAGGATCAATGATTCCCACCAAGCCAAGAAACGTCAGCTGTCCCAGTTCAGGACCAGAAGCCAAAGCAAGGACTTAGGAAATAATAATAAAATAAAAATTTTGTAAAAGTGAGTCACAAAAACATTATAATTTTGTTGATAAAAGTTGGAGACAGTAACACTCCTCAGATAAATCATTTAAGACTATAATGTCCTTTGAAGTTATTATATAATCTTTAAAAATCAAAATTATCACATGCCACGACATTATAGTTTAATGGTTCTGGATATGGGATTGCTTTAAAGTGTTAAAAACTAAAAGAAATAAAACAAAAGAACTGTTAAGCAGAGAGGGCAAGTGAAGGAGAATGAAGAATGTTTTCGTATAGCAACCACATGCAGCTACTTTCAACAGAAACTACTGCTTCTTAAAAAATTACAATTATTTAGAAAAACTATAGGTTTGTCAAGCTTTAAAGTCAATTTTAAACAGACACCTTTGAAGGTGGCTTCTAATGTATCTTCATCTTTTCATTCATAGGTCTCCAGAAAAATTCAATAGCCTGAAGAGAAGGCTATATTAATTCATTATATACACCTCATAACAATTTTGTACCTGACAAACCCTGGGAGGTAAAGTTAATCTGTAATGTGATAGTAAAACCATTAATACCAACAATAGTTTGGATTCTTTCACTCTCCGTAACATTAACAGGCATTTCTTGTTTGTAACTTTGGTTCCCTAAGAGTGTATAACACCACCACCATATCATTATAGTTAGTTTCCTGTCATCCTTGGGCACCTAAGATATAACACAAAGTACTACTCCTTTCCCAAATACCATTTAGCTTGCTCTCAGAATTCTGGAACCTCTGGTAACTACCCTCATGAACCAAAGGAACGTGCCTATATCTGGGATATTATTAGATAACAACTTACAAAAAAAAAAAAAGCCCACACAAACCAAACGTAAGTACTGCATAGGGAGATTGAAAAGGCCCAGAGAGACTGAAGTATCTATTCTTGTTCAAGCAGAAGATATGGAAGATTAAATGTACATGGAAAACCAACATTAGAGGCAAGTAACTTCTATTTTTCCAATGTAAGAGTCATATGAGGGTACTTCAAAAAGTCTGTAGAAAAATAGAATTAAAAAATATGAATCTTTCCATGAACTTTTTGAAGTACCCTCATATACCTAACTATGTAGATATGGGCCCCAAAGACTTTCACCCTTGAGAGAATGAGCCACTTGACAGTCTCTGGCGCTGGGAAAGAGGCAGATGGCAACAGATGGGGACAGCAAAAAATATCAATTTGTGTGTCAGCAAATCCTAAGAAAGAGAGATCAGCTCTGGTAACTCCCAGTGGAGGGCTGGCACTTGTGTAGAGGTTAGTATACTATATTTACTTGTTTGCTTCTTTAGCACAAATGAAGATCTACTGCTACTCTTTGGGTCAAGGGTAAGCAAACGTGTGTGGGGGGGGGGGGCCCTGACATACAATACATATGCTAATATCAAAATTAAAGACCTCAAGTATTTTAAGTAACTTAAGTTTCATAAAATGAAACATAAGTATTTATCAATTGAAATTTAAAATCTTCCTGTTCTTCATTATGTTGATCTCAGGGGAAAAGGGAAGTAGAGCACAAAGAGAAAAAGAAGAAAAGACATGAAGCAAGAGACAAATGACCAGAATATTTCCCAAAACCTTGTGAAACAAAAATTTTCTCCTCTACTAACTCTGGTCTATTTGGCAATGTTACAACACAAAACCACACATACACAAATCCTCACTATCCTTCAGATGAAAAGAGTTAGCCAAAATATAAAGTATAAAAACTTTTGATCCAAAAATTAAGGAAAAGAAAACACATACCAGACCTTCAACACATCTTTAAGGTCTCTAAATCCATGACAACTTTGAAACCCTCTTGCTGTGAGCTTCTATGAGTAACAAAACTCTCCCCACTTTTTTTTTTCAATGCTTTATATTAACAGTTGGAAACAAACCCAACAAACTGGAGGTGATGACATCCCAGAAACCCAAGAGGTGAGGGAAACAGGTTTTTATTTTAACCTCCTACCACTTTTTTTTTTAATTAAGTGCACCTTAGCAAAAGTAGATTTAAAAAGAAAGGGTCAAAGTCCCAGATGTCAGCAAGCAGGAAGAAGAAGGGGATCCAGGGGAACAACAGGCCCCCTGCACAGCGCTCCTGGAGTAGCTCAGAAAAGCTGATGTCGCCCCTTCATACATAGGCTTTGGCAACCAAAACCCCCTTCCTGACAGCAAGGCCTCCCAGTAGTCACCCTCATGTCTCCTAAGATCTCCCATGCTCTAACAACTACAATTCTGATCCGAGCCTTAACAGTGCCATTCTCTTTCCCTAGTGGGGTTGAGAGTGAGCCAGAGAATCTGAGCTTATTGAGGCGGGGCTACCACACACTTTGGTCTGCCCTCTGTTCAGAAGGAAGTGGGGGTACAGCGTGAGGAGAACTCTCTGTGCCCACATCCCTAGAGTAGCCACTTACATTTGCACATCTGGCTTGATAAGTTTATTAAATTTATAAAAACTCTGTGGTCTCAGAGCTCCAGCTACTCTTAGGCCTGACCCAGCTGAACCAGATAAGTGGTTCTTCCCGGCAGCGGTCCAGGGGCATGTTCAGGATTCAGGCCAAAGGGAAGAAACCCTAGAAACTCTGGAACCTGACATCAAAGTCTCTCACATTATAGAGGGGAAGGAGAGAAGAAAAAGTTATTTTTCTTTTAAAACTTTTCCTTTTCATATTAAAATAGATCCACTTGCAAATCAATTTCTCAGCCAGGAGGCCCCACCTCCCATTTCCCTGGAGATAAAGGATGAGGTGTTAGTATTACCACGATACATCCCATATCCCAGAGGAGAAGCACCAAGCTTTGGGGAGGACAAATGGAGGGACCTGACTCAGTAGCCTGCAAGCTGGTGCAGGGGTTCCAGAGAGGCAAGAGCATAAAGCATGTCAGCAGGCTGGGGTGGTATTCTCTGCCCATGAGAACACTTTTCCAAACTTAGCTTATTATAAGAACAGAATTCCCCAAATCTATCCAAATATTTTAAACACAAAGAAAGCCCTTGCTTAAGTGAACCATGAATAAGGACATTTTTCATATAACTTGTGTTCCTCTCATCCAGAAATTCCAGTGTTTGACTTCCATTTCATCGAAATAATAAAATTCAGGAAGCCAACTCTTCCAATTTCCTTGAGAGACTACATAACTACACATATTCTGTACAAGCCGGATGACTATCCAGAAGGTAAGAACCAGGTATGACCCCCCCAACCCCTGCCCCTCCAATCCAATCCCTAGGAGAGGTGTCCTAATGTGTGTGTGCCCACCAGACTCTCTCACCATCACCGTTCAGTCAGCAGCACATACATAAGCAGTATCTGGGCACTTCTTTACCACCCTGGTGAACGGCAAGGAAGGAAGACAGCAGATAAGGATCAAGTAGCAATCACCTTAGTTTAAAGGACAAATTGGAGGCTTAAGAATTCAATATTTAGGTGAGTTTTTAGTTCTATTAACAAATACGACACAGTGACAGAAAAGGAAAGAGTAATATCTTTTTACCCTGATCTACACTTCCCTTCTCATAAGAAAATGTGTTTAAAATAAAATTTCTATCACCTACTCAGAGAGCACTGCAGGTCTGTAAAAACCAAAGATTTCATATTTTACTGCATTCTTAATTTTCCAGCTTTTGGGAGCCAGTTAACCAACTAAAACAATACCTCAGAAATGGCAAGGATTCTACGAAGCCTGGAATAGAGTTGGACAGCTCAGATCTGAAGCATAAATTCATCTGCAATTAAAAGAAGGCTCCACTTTTCCACTCCAGGGGATTAGGCTGAAATGGCCTTACCTCTGAGTCCTGCTGAGCCCATATGTGCTTTTTCTTGTTGGTACAGATCTTTCTGCTGCTGAGTAAGAGTCAAGGTCTGCCCTTTGCTGTGGTATGTAGTACAGTACTTAATCACCTGTTCATAAGCACCTTTCATAAAGCAAATCTCTGGTCTGTCCTAAGAAGAAAAACATACCAAATATAAGTTTAATTTTAAATTGTACATATCTGCCATTGGAGTCCAAAAACAAGTGGCATGCATTTCTCATTATCCCCAGGGAAGTTCTTAACTCTAAGGCTTTGAGTGGCATTTGAACTGTAAAGATTAAAAATTCATATGTGGGAGCTATGTGCACTTTCTATAGAAAATGACATCTGTCCCACCATCCCACACATTGAAGGCAATGCTATACTAAGCCCCAAATTAGGCACTCTGAAATTTGGGAAGAGGCTTGATACAACATAACAGAAAAAGAAAAGATCTAATATCAGAAACAACGGTTCAGGCAAGTATTAGCTACTCTATTAGCTGTGTATCTATATCTACACCTTTCTATTTATCTATGATCCCACTTAATTCCCACAACTGCCTTGTTATTATGGGTATTGTGAGACTTTCTATTATTCTTATCATAGTGAAAGTAATATTTGAAAGCCTACATTGAAAAACTGTAGTCCCCTGCCCAACCCTTTTCAGCATACAGCCTTACTTCACAGAGGCAAAAACCCTTTTAGCTGTTTTCTTTGGTATTTATCCCCATGTTTTAACACATTTATATTGTTACTCCTTCAATTATCAATGGTATACACTGTTTATTGTGACAGATGTTAATTTGACCGCCCTCACTACATGTTCCCCCTTCCCCATCTTTATGATAGTTAAAGCAAAATTTGTCAGCATCCTACTTATATTATCACTCCTCATTGCTAAGCCAAGTATGGTCATGATTACAGCAGCTCACACACATCCCAGTTCCCTCGCAGGCAGGAATGTATTTCCCTTGCTGTCTCCCTCACCCCAGAGGTAAGGTGTGACTTGGTTTGGCCAATAAATACGAGAAATACTTGTGTCATTTCCACAAGGAAATTTAGAGACCAGTGCATAATTTACTATTCCTCCATCCCTGCTGAGACACTGAGTGTTCACACTGAAATAGAGCTTCCATCTGCCTGGATTCCCAAGTAACTACAGTGAGCAGATATGTGGGGCTGGGGAGGGAACTGGAAGGCATGATGTTGTTTCCATGGCCTATTCTGACAGATCAAATGATACTTCTTTTCCTGTTCAAGTTTTACCTTTTATAAAGTTGACAACTATCTCTTTATTTGCTTAGTTTTCTTTATACCTATAATTCATTCTTCCCAAATTCTCCAATGTAATATGAAACCCTTCTTGTGATGTTGTTCACATTATCAAATAGTAAGCTAATTACTCTCACATTTTTACTGAGGACTTCTCTCCTTTAGTCTTCTCCTTTCTTTTTCTAATTTGAGTTGGCTGATTTCTAGGCCTCCCGCACCACTGGCACCCAGAAACTTCCCTTCACCTCTATCCTCACTGGACTCTAAGTCTTCCTTTTCCTTGGTTTATTAGCTATTAGTATCTTTCTAATAAAGGGTGTGTGGTATGGGACGTAGATTTTTCTTCTATCCTCACATAAGGTAAGTTTAGCTAAAAACAGATTTCCTTTCATTTTTAAGACTTCGCTTTATTATCTCCCAGCCTGCAGTGTCCAGTGTTGCAGTAGAAAAGTAAAAAAAGAAGCTACTTTCTTAAACCTTTTTATATGATTCCTCCCTCACCTAAACCTTTTTACATAATCTCTCTCTTCCCATTCCAAAAATCTCTGGAAGGTTTTTAAATTCCCCTTCTCCAAGCATCCTCAAATTCCCTTTCCTTTTTTTATTGCGACCGGTAAGGGGATCGGAACCCTGTGTCGCCCACACCGCACTCAGCCAGTGAGCGCACCGGCCATCCCTATATAGGATCCGAACCTGCGGCCTCGGCGCTCCCCGCGTGGCTGCGCTCCCAGCACCACACTCTCCCGAGTGAGCCACGGGTTTGGCCCTCGAATTTCTTAATTATGGGCTTTGTGTTTATATCCCCTCACCCATCCCCCTTGAACATACTTGTGCTGAGCAGATGGTGGGCTATTTTATTCTAGAAACTGAAGTCTTCCCATTCTGGAAAATATTCCAGCGTTTTTTGATAAAAAATCTTCCCATTTTCTGGCCATACTACCCAAAGCGATATACAAATTCAATGCAATCCCCATCAAAATTCCAATGACATTTCTCTCAGAAATGGAAAGAACTCTCCAGACATTTATATGGAATAACAAAAGACCACACATAGCCAAAGCAATGCTGAGCAAAAAAAATAAAGCTGGAGGCATAACACTACCTGACTTTAAACTATACTACAAAGCTATAATAACCAAAACAGCATGGTACTGGTATAAAAACAGACACATTGATCAATGGAACAGCATAGAGAATCCAGAAATCAACCCACACACTTACGGCCATCTGATCTTTGACAAAGGCACCAAGCCTATTAATGGGGTTGGGACTGCCTCTTCAGCAAATGGTGCTGGGAGAACTGGATATCCATATGCAGGAGAATGAAACTAGACCCATACCTCTCACCATATACTAAAATCAACTCAAAATGGATTAAGGATTTAAATATACACCCTGTAGGCCGGCCCGGTGGTGCACTGGAGAGGGCGGCGCTCCCACCAAGGGTTCGGATCCCATGTGGAGACCGGTTCCCGCTCACTGGCTGAGCGCAGTGCAGGTGCAACACCGAGGGTTGCGATCCCGTTGCCGGTCCCCGGTACGGGCGCGACACCGAGGGTTGCGATCCCGTTACCGGTCAGTAAAAAAGACAAAAAGGAAAAAAAAAAATAATAATAAATATACACCCTGAAACAATAAAACTTATTAAAGAAAACATAGGAGAAACACTTCAGCAAATAGGGCTGGACACAGACTTCATGAATACAACCCCAAAAGCACGGGCAACCAAAGGAAAAATAAACAAATGGGATTATATCAAACTAAAAAGCTTCTGCACAGCAAAAGAAACAATTAACAGAGCTAAAAGACAACCAACAGAGTGGGAGAAAATATTTGCAAAATATACATCTGACAAAGGATTAATATCCAGAATATACAAGGAACTCAAACAACTTTACAAGAAAAAAACAAGCAACCCAATTAAAAAATGGGCAAAAGAGCTAAGCAGGCATTTCTCTAAAGAAGATATACAAATGGCCAACAGTCATATGAAAAAATGCTCAACATCACTCAGCATCCGGGAAATGCAAATCAAAACCACACTGAGATACCATCTCACCCCAGTTAGGATGGCTAAAATCCAAAAGACGCTGAAAGATAAATGCTGGCGTGGTTGCGGAGAAAAAGGAACTCTCATACATTGTTGGTGGGAATGCAAAATGGTGCAACCCCTATGGAAAATGGTTTGGAGGTTCCTCAAACAGCTGAAGATAGATCTACCATACGACCCAGCTATCCCACTGCTGGGAATATATCCAAAGGAATGGAAATCATCAAGTCGAAGGTATACCTGTTCCCCAATGTTCATTGCAGCACTCTTCACAATAGCCAAGAGCTGGAATCAGCCCAAATGTCCATCATCGGATGAGTGGATACGGAAAATGTGGTATATCTACACAATGGAATACTACTCAGCTATAAAAACGAATGAAATACTGCCATTTGCAACAACATGGATGGACCTTGAGAGAATAATATTGAGTGAAACGAGTCAGGCAGAGAAAAAGAAATACCACATGTTCTCACTTATTGGTGGGAGCTAAAAATAAATTAATTAATTCACTCACATACACACACAAAAAAGAAATCCGGGGTGGGGGGGGAGAAGAAGATATAACAACTACAATCTTTTGAAGTTGTTACAACAAGCAAACGGAAACGACATTCTTGGGTGGGAGGGTGGAGAGGGAGGAGGGAGGGAGGCTTCGGTGATAGGCCATAATAACCAACTACATTGTATATTGACAAAATAAAAATTAAAAAAAAAAAAAAATCTTCCCATTTTCTGGTCTCTCTTCCTGCTTACCAGTATTAGGTGGAGGCCTGATCTCCTGTATTTATTTTCTAATTTTCTTACCATAAGGTACACAAGTCTTATACTTCACACCTCTGACTTTGTTCTACTTTCTTGAATTTATTTGATAAGCATTCTATTAGATTTTGTTGTCATCTTTTACGGTCTTTGGAAATTTTCTTCAGCATCCAGCACTATCTTTGTGTCTCTGAGACTCATTTCTGTTTGGTCTGTCTTTCATACTAAAGACTTTCCCCAAGTATTTAAAAATCCCTGCCTGTCCATTTATATTCACGAAAGAAGCAATTAAAGGACTAGAAGCTACATGGGCATTGGCAGAGCTAATTAATGGATGGACATCACTATGGGTGATGAGATGAAGCCCAGGCATAGGTTAGCTTTTCCAGTGAACACAGAGCTTGGTTAGGCATTCCCCTTACTGTTGGAACCTCCCTGGTAGGAGTCAGATTTTCTAAAACTCTTCAATCTTCTGACTTAGGGAACGAGGGTGGGTAGATGACTACCTGTATGTAGTATGCATTCTGAGAGACAAGTGGAGTTAAGGACTAGAGGCTTACCATTCAGGACAATGACATCTCTTTAATCATTCTATTTTCAGTCTTAAGCTTTAATCTTGCCCTATACTCTTGTCCCTAAGATCTGATTTCTGATATTCTACAGGAATAAGTAAAGCAGGACTAATGTCTGGCCTAAAGAAGCAGAAAAGGCACTTAGAGTTCTACTGTTTTTTTACTCAGAATTTCAACCTTCTCCCCTGTTTTTAGCCTTATGCCTTACTCCCTGCCCTCAAATGTACCTGGCACCCTGAGTCTTTCCCATATTTTCTCTTTATGAATTTATATTCTTAATTCTTTGTGATTTTGGCAGTTTCCAAGGAGAGAGTAGAGGTAAATGTATATTGTCATATGCAAATGAAAGTCCTCTAAAAACAAACTATTTGAGCCACCGGAATTACTTTTAAATTAGTTAGTTACCCCTATCTGTCAGGCTGACCTCTTCTAGATCCTAAGTCACATGTGTAGGTTTGGGTTTTGTTTTGTAAGAGGAACTCTTCAGGTCAG